TAAAGAAGTTAAGTCAGTTCTTGTGGTAAAGATACATCTCAGTGCTGAGGCACAAGACAAAAGACAATCCCTTCTGGAAAATCCCTTACAATAGCAAAATGCTATTACTGGTGTGTAACACCCACATCGGGGCAAAGATCCTTGACATTTTCTGATTCTTCTAAAGAATGAATTCTCTCCTCATTTCTCACCTGAAATGATGGGCCACTCACAAGATAAATAAAGCAAAGGACAGGGTGGTCAGTTGTGCCATAGAGGGGTGAAAAAACCAAGATTCCTTCAAAATTCTGGAATATTGTGTTGGAATTTTCAAGCGAATTCCTAAATCTGTTGGGCTTGGTTGGGACCCCTTTGTAGAGAGGTTTGCTCATCACACCCCTGCCAGAAAATCATCTCAGCAGCATCTTTTTGGGTGCTGTTTGACACCCTTTGGACTCTGATCCTGCCAACACCCCTGTGCTGGGCAGTCCCTGCAGTCACTCCTTGATTTGGAAGTTTGCTCCAAACCATGATGGAGCTGAGGATAAACACAATTAAAAGTTTCTGTGACTTTTAATTTGAGGCCTGCAGGTTTTACTCCTCCCATCTACCAGACAGGAACTGGTTTTTACCATGAGTAAAGTCACATGCTCAGCACAAATAAATGTTGGCAGGATTGGAGCTGCTTTCTTTATACCTTGATTAAAATTTACTAAATTTACTTCTGCATGTCCATGGAGAGAAAGTTAATGCTTATTTAACAATATTTAGTTTTAAGGGGAAAGGAAGTGGTAGGTAATGAACTTTGATGAATTTGGGTTGTGCTTAGTGTTAGTTTTTTTGGGGGATGAAAGAGATTAGGGAAGAAGCCAACTCCTAAGATCGAGCATCTTTTGAGCAGTTAAATAATAATAATAATAATAATAATAATTTGATACTTCTTCTTTCAGTGGTTTTGTTCTGAAAAGTGCTTTTGTGTTCTTTTTCCTAAGAAATGGAAGGGTCAAAACCTAAAATCATATGTTTAACTTAATTTAGCCCAAACTGCTTATTTCCTCCTTTTTTCCTCCAAATTCCATTTTTTTCCCTGATAATAATTTTAGTTTCGCAGCCCCTCCCAAAACAAAGCACATGTTCAGCTTGACCACAGACTTTAAAGTCACTACTTCCCCTGAGCAGATCTTGTCAGCTTCTCATTTAAATGAAAATGCTGATGCCTGGGCATTTTCACATCTCCAGAAATGCTTTATATTTTCTAGCTCAACGAACACAAGTTTCTAAGAAGGCTTTTTTAAGTTACATAAGAAGGTGTTCTTATGTAACTTAAAAAAAAATCAAAAATCTGAGAATCCACAGTTTAGGTTCAGTGTGTTGGAGATATTTCCATTTAAGCTTGACTTTGGTCTTACCAAAGTGGCTTTGCTCTGACTTCATACCTTTGACTTCTGTGGAGGAATATCTAATATAAAACAGGGGCAGAATCAGCCCCTGAACACTTATTTTATGTGCTGGTCACTGTTACAGTAACGTTATTAGCACTGAAAAGGGGGAAAAAAGGGAATATAGAGAATTTCCATGAGGATGCGTGTGGGGATCAATATGCCTGCACCACTTTAAAACAAGTAATGCCACATATATTGTTTTATGTCCTATAAAATGTGTGCTAAATGTGCTCAAAGCTGGTGTGGGTAATGGGGTGCAAAAGCTTGAACTGGACTAAAATAAATATTTTTATGGATCAGGAGAATCACACCTGGAATGGAGCTGCAGCAGGCAACGTTTTGCTGCTGAAATTAATCTTTAGTGTGCAGTGGACACAAATTATGTGCTAGAAAAGGCTCATTATTGCCAATGGAACTCCTGGGAACTTTTATGGAATGTCCACCAAAAAAAAAAAAAAAAAGGTGTGTGTATATCCCACAGAAGGCTCTTTGTATGCCACATGGTGCATTCCCCACTCCTCTGCCCCAGCCCTCACAATTCCCATCGTTCAGCACACCAGGATTGAGTGATGATGCCTTGGGATACAGTTTCCCTGTAAATCTGCTGTCCCAGCCTGTCAGGATTGCCTTGTGCCCTCAGAATGATCAGCTCATTTGTAGAAAAGAGAAGCTTTCTGAATTGCTGTAATTATCCCAGAATAGAGAGAATTTCCCTTCCAATTTCCTCCAAGGATAAACCAATTTCACACTATTTTGCCCTTTGCAGAAGCTCTCCTGCCTAATTGCTGGGGATCACCTGTCTTGGAAAAATGATTTCAAATCTTCCTTTATGAGACTGACCACGTTGTTTTTTATGCTGGTCACCTAAAGTGCTTTGCATGTTCCAAAAGCTGCAGATTTTGTGTTTTCATGAGTTCAGATCCTGTTTTGGGCACACAACCAAGTGATCAAAGACTCAACGTGAGGTGTTGAGGAAACACTTCACAAAATTTGAGATATGGAAAGTCTCAGGGTTTCACTGGCAGTAATTTTGCATAGAAGTGCCAAGAGTGGGGGATTTCACCAGGTTTTACCCTGGTGGAGGGGGTCTCTGAGCAGGAGGAAGAGCCCTGAGAAGGAGCTGGATCACCAGAACAAGGCTGATGTCATGTGTGCTAAGCACTGAATGGATAATTAGGGAATAATTGCTCCAGACCCAGCTTAAAAAACTAGGCTGGGCAGGTGGAGATAAAACAGGAATAATGACTCAAAGATGGAAGTGATCTGGATCATAAAGACCTAAGAGGATCCCTTGACTCTGAGTGTTTCCATCTGCCTGCAGGATAATGAAATTTCCTTTCTCCAATCCAAACCTATTTTGAGATGTCAGTTTTCTTTGTGGGCTGGAGAAACTGAGTGTAAAAAATGGCATTTGGACAAAGAAGTGTCCTTGCACCTAATGGACAGGGCCAGGAGGGCAGGAAGGGGTCAAGAGGACAGCTGAGATGTGGATGTGGAGAAGGTGAAGGATGAATCAAGGAAAGGATGGGAAGCCAAATTGGGATGAGGTTTTGATGCAGGGAATTTGTCAAGCTCCCCAAATAGTCAGAGTTGTGCCAGGAGGCAATACTCAGTGATGAGGCTCAAGGAAAATCTGGAAGCAGGAAAAGAGGGCAGGGCAGGGTGGCAAAGTCCCGGCTGTTGTGATGTGCCTAAAACAGGGAAGGACAGACTGTGGGATCCAGGAATTTCAGGATAGGGAGGAATGGGCACAAAGCCTCCACTTTGAGATGATTTACCACAGAAGACCTGCCAGTTTTCCTGTCAGCAGGAAGGTCCTCACACCAAGACATGAAGAGATCCTGGTGCTGCCTGGACCTTCCCTCCTCCTGCTCTGCTCCTCTCCTCCCTTCCCAATCTCCTTGGCCTCTCTCCCAGCTCCAGCTGCTCCACTGACTCTCCCTGTCAGCTCAAGCAGATCTTCCAGAGCAATAAAAGGTCTCCTGGTGGGAAGGGGCTTGCCATGGACAGAGCTGCAGGATCTCACATGGAATTGTCCCCACCGCAAAGCCTGTGCCCAGTTCAGTTCTGCAGACACAGCCCCTCACCCCCAGTGCTGCAATTCCCCAACACCCATGGGGGGACTTGGGGCTCCACAGGGCTTTGAGTGGAAACATCAGCTCAGGCAACAAAGTCTTGCTGCCATTTCTGGGCAAGAAGTGGAGAAATGGAGGAGATCCAAGGAGGTGAGGCAGGGGAGAGCTGCAGAGAGGGAGCCTGGTGTTGGGGGTGGGTGCTGGGCTCTGAGACCTTGGGGCTGTTCAGGGTGTAAAGTCCAAACCCAGGAGGGTCCTGAGCCACTGCTGGAGATGTGTTTGCTGCAGGAGGGGAGGGGAAAATGGGAATTTCCCTGAGAGGCAGAAAGGTCTGTGGAAATGAGTAAGTGCAAGGTGGGAAGTTAAACAGCCCTGATCTCCATCAGCGTCGTGCCTTTTTTGGATCTTTTCACCTCATGTGGGGACAACTGGTGGCCAACCTTCACCCAGGGCAAGGCTGGGAGTCCCTTGGGGCCAGGGGCCACCATCAGCTGTGGCTGGAGCCCAAGCAGTGATTTCTTCAGTTGCATTTGCCTTGCATTAAGTATAATGGAAAGCAAAACATTGCAGAGGTTTTCTCCCAAAATTTTGGTGGCTGATTTAAAAGTGTCCAAAGTTTTGCTCTGTGTCTCTCTCTACCTTGTTTTGTCTTTTTTTTTCTTTTTTTTTTTCTTTTTATTTTCCTGTTATCCTAAAGTTAGGACCTGGAGGGGGCATTCTACTTTCATGCTGAAACAGAAAGCATTTTGTGTGTTCCCTAGATCTTTTCCAAAATAATATTTTGAGGCTGTATATGGACTTAGAGAACTGTAAACAATTTTTTGGAAAAACCAAAAATCTCAAGTAGCTGCTGCAAAGTACAAGATATAATTTTAATCTACTTTACAGGGAAGTTGGAAGGGATTAATTAAGCAGTTAATAATTAACCTGAGCTTTATGTTAGTGCAAAGTACTGAGTAAATGTATTCATAAGGAAATTATGAGAAGTAATTACCTTTTGGAAAGGAGAATCTGAAGAAGGGTCATGCAAAACTATACTGGAAGTGCTGGAGAAAGCTCAAAACCCCTTTTTTTTTGTTTTGGAGTTGAGGAAATTGTACATTGAAGGTGGAATTAGGAACATAACCTAGCTCAATATTCAAGAGGAAACTTTCTACTCACAGGTATCAAATGTTCCTCCCTAGCTTACAAAGTTTTGAAGAACTTTCAACTTTTGCTTTCAAAAATACATTTTCCCCCCCCTCCAATATGACTTTCATTTTTCTGGTTTGGCTTTTCTTTGTTTGTTTTGTGGGTTTTTTTAATGTTGTTTTGGTGGTTTTTTTGGTTTGTTTTGTTGTTTTGGGGTTTTTTGAGTGTTGTTTTTGGTTTTTTCTTTGCTTTGTTGTTTTGGTGGTTCTTATGTTGTTTTGGGGTTTGCGTGGGTTTTTTTTTTTTTAGTTAGTTTTTGGTTGGTTTTTTCTTGTGTTTTTTTGGGGGGGTTGTTTTATGTTGTTTTGGGGTTTGCGTGGTTTTTTGTTTTTGGGTTTTTTTTTTAGTTAGTTTTTGGTTGGTTTTTTCTTGTGTTTTTTTGGGGGGGTTATTTCACTCCAACCTGCAGCTTCACCTTTCCCTACCCATTAAATTAAGGCTCTAGTGAGCTGCAGGGGAGTGATGGCACAGAGGAATAAGAAGAAGAAGAAGGAGGAGGAGGAGGAAGAGGCAAACAGCAGACATCTCACCCCAAGACGCGCCCACAAAGCCAAAATCCAACAAGATCCCCCCGATGACCCTGGAGGGATCCCCCACCAGCTGCCATAGGCCAGAGCCCTACAGCAGGAAGGCCCCAAAGAAAGTTTTGTGCTCCTTGGTGTAATCCACCAGCTTGATGTCACTCACGTTGACCATCAGCTTGTCTCCCACCTCCAAGGAGACAACAGCGCCCAGGTAGATGGGCTGGAACCAACCATTGCCGTTCTCACTGAGGGTCTTGGTGCCCGTCAGCAGCTGGGTGGGCTCGGGGTAGCTGTCAGTGACCTTGGTGATGACCTCAGTGACAGAGTTGGCCTTGTGGCTGCTCTCCACGGGCCCGCGGAAGGTGACCTGAGCGTACACGTAGTAGTCCCCGGACACGGGAATCACCAGGGCGTTGCTGGAGTAGCTCAGGTTGTTCTTGGTGAAGGCCAGGCCTCGCTTGTCTTCCCACTGCAGGATGGGCAGGTGGCTCCCCACGGCGCTGGCCAGGTCCTGCTTCTTCACTGCAGCAGGGAGAGAGAGGGAGAGGGGCGTGGGTGAGGTTGTCACGGTGTGGAGGGAACATGGAATCTCTGCTCTGGACAGGGAGGGATTTAAACGGTTTAAGCAAAAAGCTGGGACACAAATGTTATTATTTCATGGCTTGATAACTGAGATGAATGGGCTGCAGGACTGTGGGAAATGGATTTGTGAGCAAAAAGCTGGGGCAGAAATGTTATTTCACAGCTTGATAACTGAGCTGAATGGGCTGCAGGACTGTGGGAAATGGATTTGTAGAGAGTTCTTAGGGTTTGATAGAAAGAAACCCTAAAAACTGTCTACGAGTCCATTTCCCACACAGGACAACTGTCCAGTGGTATTCTCCAGGGTGCCCACAGGGTGTGCAGGTCTGAGCTGCCAGGCTGAAAGCCAAGGGTGCTCTAGGAAGATCCTGGCAGTGTAAGCTGTACTTGGTGGGTCAGACCCCAAAGGATGAGCTGTCCATCCTCAAGGCTTAGTCTGCTGGCACTGGAAGCAATGGAGATGGCATTACCTTCCCATCTCACCCATTTCCAGAGTGAAAACCTTGTCCTCAGGTGACACCAGCACTGGGACAGTTGTACCATGCTTGTACCTAAGGGTTGGGGACAGGAAGAGGAAAATTCTAAACTATTTTTTCCTTCAGAAGGGGTGGATTGCAATTCTGTTTCTTAGAAAGACACTGCTGAGCTTGCAGAATGTCCACACTGGTCACCAGGATGTGTCAGCAAGCACTGAGACACTTGGACTTCTCTTCCTGCCTCTTCTTCAGGGGGCTGGGCTCCTCAGCCCTTCTCCTCCTGAGTGCTCTCAAGGACATCTTTTGTAGAATTTCTGTTGGTCTACCAAGGTCACTGGATTTTAGCAAAAACCCCAAAGACCCCACTGTGCTTCAAGAGCTCCAATTCCAAAGCAACACATTATATTTTAAACCATTTTTATCCCTCTCTTCCCCTTTTTTCTTTCTTTAATGCTTTTCTGGAACAAAATACTACACTTGGAGTCAGCCTCAACATTCCTCCAGACTTTTTTTCCCCTAATCTTGTGGTAAGCTGATTACAAGCAGAGTTCCAGTCCTGACCCCAGTGTCAGCCTTATCCAAGCTGAGGATGCTTCCTAGCCTGCAAGGGAAAAATTAGGGAATTGCTGCCCTTTTGCCATCACCTCTCTGATTTCTCACACACAACAGAGAGGACAATAAACCTCAGCCCTTGCATGCTTTTCTGCAGGGAAGCAAGAGTTGTCTTTGCTCTTTACTGACTGCCACATAGAATTGTTGTGCTAAAGCAGCAGCAGTGGGAAGAAAAGGATAAAACCCATGAAGATTATCTCAGGTATTAAAATGAACCTGGAAAATGAATGATGAATGCTTAGAAAAGATTGAGGGAACAGAGTTCCAGGAACTGAGACCTCTTTAATAAGCTTGTGTTCATGTTTAAAGTTGATTTTTATTCAGTATTTGGGGAAGGGCGTGTGTGCATGGGAAGGGTGGCAAATGGAATGCAGGTGAGGGAGGGCTTTGGAATTCCCTTGGCAATAACCATTAGGTCCATCCTGGGTGAAATCAGACTCAAAAAAAGGAATGTGGTCATGTCCCAGTGGCATCTGTTTCCCTCTTTCCCAACAATAAATAATCCATGAGGAGACAGGAAGCTGTTAGGAGTGCAATTCCTTTTATATTCTCTGAGTAGCACAACAAAATAATGGCCTTTTTTTTAGTGCTTCTGAAGTATCAAATCCTTCTGATCTTTTCTCAGGAGGCAAAGTGGATGGGGAAAGTATTTCAGGGAAGGGGAAGACAGACAGGGATTGTGGCAGCAAGGAAAGCTAAATTATAGAAATATTATAAAGGTTAGAGACAATGGAGCTTTGACACAGAGAGGGGAATAAAACAAGTGAAAGTGCTCCTGGTCTGCCTTCATCTGCATCCACCTCTCAGTTCAGGGACTGTCTGAATGCTGGGAAAAGCTCAGCTAGCTTTGGATCACTCTAAGCTTTGCAAGAGCTCAGAGCAATTCATCTCAGAGCAGAGGAAATCTTGTTTGAGGTGGGAAGGGTGAGGAAAGATCAGAATAGTTCCAGAAAATGTCTTGGGCTCTATTCCATCTCTGGAATTTTGGGGGGAATTTTAAGAGAAGCTGCCTGTGAAATATTCTTTTCTTGCAGAATGATGCATTTAAAATGTAAATGACACTGAATTCCACAATGAATTTTTATATTAGTTATAAAATAGATTTTATTAGTTATAGAATATGATAAGATCTCAAATGAACTACATGACTTCCTAACTTCTAGAATTAGTCAGGTTTCACAACTTTAACCTTCCTTTTAGGATGAATGTCCCTCTATTGATGCTCTCTATTTTCAAGTTAATTACTTTTTCCCATGCTTTCAGTAAGAGGAGAATAAAATGAATGTTCAAGTGCTTTTTAATACAGCACAGCTCCTTTTCTAGCAGCAGCTGTACTTTGTACTTGTCATTCATTTATTTATTTCCTAAATTCTGGAGCTCTACTTCCTGCAAATATACCTATGATGCTCATTCTTAAAGGAATTAAAATCTGTTTTAATAAGAGATTCATTACCACAGTTCTTTCTGTTTTCTCACACACTATAAACTTCTGGCATCCCTTAATTCTCCTGTCCCCAAATCCCTTTTGGTTCAGTCCCTTGCTGGAGAACCCCTGTTGCCTGACAGATTTGGGATCTGTTTTGTGCTGAAGTTGTGGGGTTTCTGCAGTTCTCAGCACCCATGAGAGAGCCTCATCCTGAACTCTGAGTCTCAGCCTGTGGTGAAGCCCTTGTGGTGCAAGGTCCTGTATCCTCTGTGTCCTCTGGTGCTCCAGTTCATGCCCTGAGCATTTAATAAAGGGAATTTGGAAGCAGAAATGAGGCTCTGGCCACATTTAGAGGTGGCTTTGGGACCACTGCAGCACAAGGAGCAGGAGCCAGGTCCTGCAGCTTTGGTCATGCCCTGTGCCACAGGCTGGTGACAAAAAGGAACAGGCACTGCCCTGGATCCTGACCCCAAATCCAACCTAGTGAGAGGGGAGGGGATGATGGCAAGGCAAGGAGAAGCCCCAAATAAACATTAATGCACAGGGGGAAGTGGGTTTGGAGGGAGCTCTGAGCTGGGTTTTGGCACATCTCAGTAGGTAAAGTCATCAGGGAGGGGAGATCTCGATTCCAGCCTGGGTGAAGAAAAATTCTCAGTGTGAGTTAAAAAGGCCAAGAGCAGCTGGAAGGTTTATCATAAAGGAACAGACACCAAACATGGAGCTGTTCTGCTACTGCCAATTAATGAGTGCATTCCCAAAGAACTCCATCTAGTTCTCATTCCTCTTACTCCTCTGTTCTCACCTTCACAATAGATGTGTTTAAAACTAGAAAAAGACAGAAAAAAGGTGTGGAAGAGATTTCCTGCAATTTAGGATTTGTAGTCTGCCACCTTCACATTGAATAAGGCACCTGAGGTGGGGGAATGTAACAAAGATCAGGGAATAATTATTCCTTTTACACTTTCTATGCACAAGTCATGGTTTCTTAGAAGAGGAAAAACAGGGTGGAGCCCCAGAAATTATTATGCACAGAGTTGAAAATAACAGGAAATATTTTCTGCCTGCAAAGTGCTGTTAAGCTGGGAAAGTTATTGCCACAGGGAGAAGCACCAGGAATGTGTTCAGGCTTAAAAAATGTCAGAGATAATCCATAGATTATTGGTTCCTTGATGACTACATAGCACAGCACAGAAAGGAGAGAGAAAATTCCCTTAAGTTTCCCTTTTTCTTGCACCTCTCTATGGCCAGCAGTGACTGGCCCTCAGTGGAATGCCAGAGAGGATGGACACAGTCCCAGGGAGGCTGCCTGGGAATGATGGCAAAGGAATTTCTGTAAATATGGGGGCTGAAGAGATTTGGAGAAAACTGCTGGGTGTTTCCCTGTGGCAGCTGGGCTTTTGTGCAACCCAGGGAAGTTCCCAACAGCAGAGCAGAGCTTTGGCTGCTCCTCTGAGTCACTGGAGCCTCTCTGCCACGGGGGATTTAAAAAACCAAAACCTTACAATAGCAGACATGATCCTCTTGCTCCTTAAAACTGGCACCTGAACAAAGCTGTGACTGTGCCCAAGGCCAGGTTGGGAGCTCCAGAAACCCCCGTGCCAGACGGAAAGGCACCAAGGATGGGCATCAGGAAGGAGCTGGTGGTTCAAGGAAAGGAAACTCTGCTGGGAAATGCATCAGCCCTGAGCTGCAGAGTGACTGAGCCCTGGGGGTGGATTTGGATCTCTCCAGGAGCAGAGTTTGAGAGAAGCATCCCAGCACTTCCTGCACTTCTCAGGTTACAAAGTGCACCCCGGGGCAGCACTGGGCTGCTGGGGAAGCCTCTGCAGTGAGCTGTACTTTGGAGAGGGATAAATGGCCTCAGGCCAGCTGGAAAACCCTCTGGCACTCACTCCATCCACACCGGGGCCAAGCAGGAACTTTTCTCTGGGAATACCTAAATTTTTCACGGGGGTGGAGCTGGTGAGGGTGGGGGATGTCTCAGGCAAGGTCCTTGGTGTGGAGGCAGCTTCATGGCTGAGGTGGTGACATGGGGACCTTGGAGATGCTGGCAGCCCCTTGGAAAGGCATGGAAGACCCTTGGAAAGGCATGGTAACTCTGGAAAGGCATGGAAACCTCTTGGAAAGGCGTGGTAACTCTTTGGAAAGGCATGGAAACCTCTTGGAAAGGCATGATAACCCTTTGAAAAGGCATGGAAGCTTCTTGGAAAGAGATGGTAACTCCCTTTCCATGGAAGGCATGGAAGCTTCTTGGAAAGGCATGATAATTCTTTGGAAAAGCATAGAAGACCCTTGGAAAGGCATGATAACTCTGAAGAGGCATGGAAACCTCTTGGAAAGTCATGATAAGTCTTTAGAAAGGCCTGGAAGCTCTTTGGAAAGGCCTGGCAGCCCACCCTGTGACAGGACTTTGTGATGGCACCTTCCTACCACAACAAAAAAGCTTGGAGGGCTCAGCTTGGCATTACCCTTAAGGCATGGAAACCTCTTGGAAAGGCATAAGTCTTTAGAAAGGCCTGGAAGCCCACCCTGTGACAGGACTTTGTGATGGCACCTTCCTACCACAACAAAAAAGCTTGGAGGGTTCAGCTTGGCATTACCCTTTCCCTGCTTGCTCTGAAATATGTCAGAGGTTATCTCAGTGAAAACAGGGTGGAGAATTTATGGGAATAAATAAAACTAGCCTGATTTGACCTGATTTTGCTCCAAAACTTGTAATTCTTGCCAATTCACTGATCCGCGAGGGCTCACGTGAGCTCCTTCCCTGCCTTTTCTGGAGGATTCAGCAGATCACTGAGACATTAGGTGACTGTTTCAGTTCAGTTACAAAAGCTGGTCATTAAATGAAAGAAACATCTCAGAAAAGTGACATTTCTGTCAGCTGTCCCTCCTTTCCTGCAGACACACAGCACTCAGCCTGGCCTGCTCAACAAGGCAAAGCTGATTATTCTGCTCCCCATGTTTCCTGCAACACCTGCTCCTACCAGATCCACACAGACCAAGGTTACTGAACGACAACATTGGCTGTAAAAAGGCTTTAGTTGTGAACAAGAATTACCTGTCAGGTGAGCTCGTGGCTTCTCTGCACTGGAAAGTGTGTCTGTAACTGAGAGAAAAGGGAAAAAAACAGTGTGAGGATGTTTGCTGCTGTTCAATAATAAAATTACAGAATATCCTGAGCTGGAAGGGACCCCAAGGATCATCAATCCTGCCCCTGTCCCTGCCCAGACCCCCCAGCAACCCCACCCTGGGCATCCCTGGCAGCGCTGGCCAAAGGCTCCTGGAGCTCTGGCAGCCTCGGGGCCGTGCCCATTCCCTGGGGAGCCTGGGCACTGCCAGCAAAATATGAGTGGTGACTGATGCCCATGAGGAAATGTGCAGGCTCTTTCTGCAGAGGGCTGAGTCGGGGCTGATTTGCTGTGATCTCTTACTGACAGCCCTGAGATGACAAATGCAGACAGGAGAGTTTGTCAGCAGGGCACCAGCAGGGCACATTGTGGCTGCGTCCTGAACTGCTGGAGGCAAACAGAGGGAAAGGGTGAGGAGCACAGGCTCCTAAATCCCTGCTTGTTCAGGGATTCCCAGTGACCCTGCAGAGCTGTGGGGAAGCCTGTGCCTGCCCAGCTTTGCCAGCCCAGGGTTAGAAATGCTCCCATTTCACTCTGCCCACTGTTATCTCCCTGCATCCTCTCCCCCAGTGTGCCCTGGCTGGCTTGTCTGGGCAGGGATTGGGGTGCTGAGGGCAGAGGTGTGCTGGGATTGCAACATCAGAGGGAAAGGGGAAAGGGAGGCAAACTCACCAGCAGGGCACATTGTGGCTGTGTCCTGAACTGCTGGAGGCAAACAGAGGGAAAGGGTGAGGAGCACAGGCTCCTAAATCCCTGCTTGTTCAGGGAGACCCACTGACCCTGCTGTGGGGAAGCCTGTGCCTGCCCAGCTTTGCCAGCCCAGGGTTAGAAATGCTCCCATTTCACTCTGCCCACTGTTATCTCCCTGCATCCTCTCCCCCAGTGTGCCCTGGCTGGCTTGTCTGGGCAGGGATTGGGGAGCTGAGGGCAGAGGTGTGCTGGGATTGCAACATCAGAGGGAAAGGGGAAAGGGAGGCAAACTCACCAGCAGCCACTGCTCGTTGCTTCAGAAAGTGAGAGCCCCCCTCCTCTGTGACCTGCAGGGGACAGGGACAGCAGTCAGCTCCGAGGGTTTTGTGTGAATTATCCCAGACATGGAACAGCTGCAGTAACATCAGTGAATTCAGATGGAGCATTTTGGCTAAGAGGTGAGCCCTGACAAGTCTTTGTTCACTGCAGGACATTTCTGCTGTTGGTTTAGAACAGCCTTCATCTCTGAAGGGTTCCAGGACCTGGGGGAGGTTTGTTGGATTCTGAGCTGCACAAGCCTTGGCATGGCTGGGAGAGCAGCAGAGTGGCCAGTGTGACCCAGCCATGGGTGGTGAGTGCCCAGCCCTGCTGGAGCAACTCTGCTGCTTGCAGCCTCTCCTGCCCTCAGCCCAGGCACAGCAAGCAGAGCAAAGTGAGAGAATCCCCTCAAGGCAGCCAGGCCTGAGCCTCCACAGGAGCAAAGGTTCCAACAACACTGAGATGGATCAGCCCCACCTGCCTTTTGTCCTGCAGCCAGACTAAGCCTGTTCCTTAGGTCTGGCTGGAATTTTGGGTGACCTCCTGTGAGGCAGGAGCCGAGCAGACCCGAGGGGGCAGCTGCAGGGTGAGGTCTGCTGCTGGGAGCCCGCACTGGGGAAAGCTCATCCATCCCCTGCTCTGCAATTCTCTCCTGCAGCCGGACACTCCCTTTGCCCTCGGCAGGACGTGGCCCTGCCCTGTGCCGCCCAGCTCAGCAGTCCCTCGGCGCTGTGCCTGTCACACACTCGGTGTCCTGAGTCACCTGCTGTGCCCCCCGAGCCCCCCGGGCACGGCACGGCCGGGGCTGCGCGCCCAGCGCTGGGGCAGCTCCGCGGGGAGCAGGGGGGATGCTGCGGGATGCTGGGGGTGCTGGGGTGTTGGGGGATGCTGGGGGATGATGTGGGGTGCTGGGAGATGCGGTTCCAACAACACTGAGATGGATCAGCCCCACCTGCCTTTTGTCCTGGTGGAGGGGGATGCAGGGGAATGATGGGGATGCTGGGGGATGGTGGGAGAGGTTGCGGGATGCTTTGGGATGCTGCCTCACATCTGGCCTTGCAGGGCTGTGAGGAGCAGCCCTTGGAACAGCCTGGGTTGTGCTGACCCTTGGGACTGACCCATAGGATTGACCCTCAGGACTATGCTGGTTGGATGCTGGGAGTGCTGGGGGATTCTGGGGATGGTGGGGATGGAGGGGGATGGAGGGGGATGGAGGGGCGTGCAGGGAAATGATGGGGATGCTGTGGGATGGTGGGGGAGGTTGCGGGATGCTTTGGGATGCTGGGGATGCTGCCTCACATCTGGCCTCGAGGGCTGTGAGGAGCAGCCCTTGGAACAGCCTGGGTTGTGCTGACCCTTGGGACTGACCCATAGGATTGACCCTCAGGACTAAACTTCAGGATTGACCCTCAGGGCTGACTCTCAGAGCTGTCAGGAACCCCCATCCCAGAACATCTTTCAGGAACACACAGGGCTGGCACAGTGTGTTTTATGGGCAGACACCAAAAATACACTGAATAAACTGAATAAACCACCCCTGGTCAGCTGGTACCAAAGTATTGGAGGCACTTTGCCCGATAAAAACTGAAACAATATTAATATCTAGATGCTGAAGCTGGTTCCTGCTGGCTGTGTCTCACACAGCTTCAAACACTGCAGGAGAAGGAGAAAATAGAGAATTCATATTGGCTGGGGAAGGGGAATGTTTGTGGAAGGACAGCAGCCTGCCTGGGGTTGGGGGCTGCTGGCTGCTCCAGGAAAGCCTAAGATAGTTTAATGTTTTACTGGAAGTAAACATCCGTGTGCTCCTGCAGCAAACAGTCATTTCTGAAATAGCTGCTCCAGCGTGGTGGGAAAAATGGAGAAGGAAACAGTAGGGAAAATTCTCCTTTGGTTTTTTTTTTGTATTCCCTTGCCCACCTGTACACAAATGTGTGGCCTAACCCCAGCCCCAGCAGCCTCCAGGCAGAGACTGCTGTGAACTTCCAGTGTGGGGCTGAGGGAAAATTGGTGCAGTGCTGTCCAGATTTCTGAGCCTTTCATTATGTGTGAGGAGTTTCAAAGTCCTGCTTTCTATGGTGACTAACCATGAGAGCCCTGCTGATGTGACTCAGTCACAGCCTGTGACTTTGTCCCTGCCCTGGTGGGAAGCACAAGGTCAGAATTAAGGATTTTTCCCTCATTCTCCCCTGGCTTTGAGCCAGGTGTATTCACCTAAGGGTATATTTACACATTCCTTGTGTGGCATTTCCTACCTATTGCCCAAGTGAGTAATTCTCATTAGTGATCCCACTCTCTAAGGATTCTGCAGCCAGGGAAAAAATCAATCCCAAACCTATACTTAATAATGTAACTTCTGTGGAACTGTTTACATACTTGAAGCTTAACTTCTGCTGAAGTTCCTTGTATAAACTTGGATGTTGCAATCCAAACAGAGGTGGTAGGAAAATGGGAAAGAGAGCAAGAAGAATTCTGCTTCTTTACAAAAGATAACAAAAAGGTTTTGTTTAAACCTAAATTTACTTGTTTCCTAAGAAATCCAGCTGGAAACTCCAGGTGCAGGAGCTGCATTGAGGGACAGAGCAGATAGAGCAGGGGGATAGAACAAGGTGTGAAATTATTCTGTTGCTTGGCAAAGGTATGGCTGTTCTGTTTTTTCCTAATTGTGCTATCTCATAAAGGTGTAAATATAAATACAAATCTACAGGAGATGTTTTAGCAGCAAACAGTGCTGCATAATGACCAGGTGTCAGAAATACTTGTCCTGAATAGGCACAGCTGTTGTGCATTGGTGGGGAGGGAGAGCTGAGCAGCAGGAGACAATGGAGAGAACATTCACACAATCAGTGCTTTCCTCTCTTTTCCCTTTCTTGCTCAGCTGTGGTTCTGAAAAGTTCACAGCTTCAATTTTCCCTTTGGTTACTGTGGAGAGCCCAACCACTGAGTGATGTTGAAAACCCCTCCTTGAGCTGACTCACAGATATTTGGACAGGCAGCTCTAATGGCCCTGGGGATTGCTGGGTGCAGAACAGTTCTGGTGCCACAAAGGTCCAAAGAGCCCCAGTGCATTTGTATCCAGGTATTGCTAAACCCAGAAGGAAGGGCTGATATCCAATGGCATGGCAAGAGAGGGCTGATGAGCAGAATGAATACCCCCAGCTCCTCCATCCACTCCATCTCCAGCCCTGTTTCACAGGGAAAAGAAGGGCTGATCTCCAATGGCATGGCAAGAGAGCTGGCTCTGCAGGCAGAGGGGCTGATGAGCAGAATGAATACCCCCAGCTCCTCCATCCACTCCATCTCCAGCCCTGTTTCACAGGGAGGGTCTCTGCAGGTGATGTGCAGTACATAAAAATTTTTTTTTTCTAACTCCAGAGATGCTGCATGGCCTGGACTGTGAATTTTTGGCAGGAACTGGTCTGTGCCAGTAAAAACTGCCTTCAATCAGAACATTTTGCTGCCCAGTGGAAGGATGTACCCAAGGCACGTGCCCACAAGGAACATCTGCATCCAGCAGCAGTGGCCAGGCAGGGATTTAACTGGTGCTGGCTTTGGAAGGGGAATCCCAGCACCTGGGCCCATCCAGGTGTGCTTGCTCCTCCCCAGGCATTTCTCCTTCCCCAAAGATCAGGAAGCCTTTTGAGGTTCTCCTCCCTTTGTGGGCAGGCCATGAGGGCAGATCTCTCCTGGGGTTTGTTGCCAGCTTTCCAGCAGGATCCAGGTGGAGCCTCTGGGATTTTCCAGTTCCTCCTGCTCTGCAGCAGGTCCCTTCTCCACTGCCAGCTGACATGGCACAGACCTGGCACACAGCTGCATGTCCAACCCTTGGCACAGGGTTTGGAATTCCTATTTATGCTGCTTGGGGCCCTGACGTGCCAAGGATGCCATGAAAAATAAACCCAAATACCAACTTCTGCAGGCCACAGGACTTGATGTTCTGCTGAATGGGATGCTGAGGCAGCCAGAGCTGCTCTCCTGTGCCATTCCATCGATAGTTTTGGGAACTCAGGCTGAAATGTGGTTTCCCTTTGAGGAAGGATTGCCCTTCCTCCATCAGGGCATCACCACTGTGGCCTTAATATAGATTTCCTGCTAGTAACACAAGCCACGTGTTCTGGCTTGAAAAACCCTTTTTCCTCTTCTCCCTCTGGACTGAAGCACAAAAGAAAGTGGTTTCTCTGTCCTCAAGGAGCATGGAGGGAGCCTGGAAGGTGTCCAAGGAAAACCATCACCAAACTGGAACTATTCATCCAAGATGCATCGCACCGTGACACACAGAGAACACTGGTAGCCCACACATGTCACGGTAATGACATAACTTGCCCTGCTTTTTCCTGAAAGGGACATTTCCAGTGAAAGAGATGAGTTTGCATCCCTCCAGAGGCACCAGGTGACACCACGTGCACCCAGGTGAGGCAGGGATGACCAACGCGCCTCGCCCTGTGGGCAGTGTGCCCAGGGACACTCCCCTGTTGCACAAACCTGCCCAGGCTTCCCTTCTCCTCCTTGCTCCAGGAAGGACTCAGGAATTTACTCCATCTGCTCCTCGCCTGCCGAGTCCCTCCCTCCCCCCAGGACTGTCCCTGGAGCACTCGAAGGTGACAATTCACTCGAATGTGTGGGCAGAGCTCTGTGGAGCAACCAGAGGGCTCCTCCCGTGGGCTGCAAGGGTCAGGAGGCCAATACTCATCTGGGGCAAGCTCGGGGCTGCCCACTCATCCCCAGGGCACCCACACCCCTAAACCAGTGCCCCAGTGAGCTCTGCCACACCTGGCTGGTCCCAAAAGTCCTGATCCGAGCTGTGAGTGGGGCACATGAGGACAGAGCCACTCAGCAAACTTTGAACGCAGAAAGAAATACAAAAAGACATTTTCCTGAGAACTTTTATGCCTAGAAATATTCCCAGGGACTGAACCTCTCTGAACCTGCAGGCTCCTGGGGGATATGGCTCCTTGGGGCATTCAGAGGCAGCCACACAGGCAGAGACATCCACCCCTCTGTGCTGTCCTGCTGGACCACACCGATGGGCACAGGGAGCAGCAGAGTGAATAAAGAGAGTGAATAATGAGCACAGAGAGCATCAGAGTGAATGGTGAGCACAGAGAGCAGAAAAATGAATGAAAATCAGGCAGGGCCCAGCTGAGGTGCAGCTCCTCCCGCAGCACACTGGGCACCCTGCCAGCCCTGATGACTTTCTTCTTCCTCCCTGGGACTCGCAGAGGTTGTAACTCCTCTGAGTGCAGAGGTTGTAACTCCTCTGATCACCTCGTACCATCAGTGTGGAAACATTACGTGTTGCTAATTAGGAGCAGGTGCATGGGAATGCACACCAGCCTTGAAATTCCAACCATTTACGTTGTGCTTTTCCTCTTAAGAAACCAAACCCACTCATAAAAAAACTTTTCTCTGCTAACTCTGCCAATAGGGTCCAGGAACACACTGGATTGATTAAACAAGTTAACATTTGATCATTCTTCTGCTCCAAGATTGTTTCAAGACTGGACTGTTCTGCTCTCGTGGGACACAAACAAACCCAGAGCAGCAGCAGAAGTGCCCAAAGCACCTTGTGAATTTTACCATCCCAACTTTGAGTGGCCCCCAGCTTTTCAAGCTCCTCCACGTTCAGCCTCTGCTCTGCTGTAATTCCACATTTCCACAACTGAAGGACCCCAAATGCTCTCAGATCGTGCCCAGCCACTGAAGAAAGCTGTGCTCTGGCAGCTAGGGCAGCCTGGGTTTCTCCAGCTGGAACCGAGGGCAGTGACAAGGTCAGAGCAGCATCACAGCTCACACACTCAAGGAATTGCCAGATTTAACAGCCCGAGGGGCCGCACCAGGTTAGAAGCAGGTGAGGCGGAGGATGCTGCACGCTGAGCTCGGCATCACTGGGGCAGAGCAGCCTCGGGGTCACAGCGGGGCCAGCGGAGGCGCGGCCGCGGCTCTGCCCTCCCTGAACATCCCCGGGCTAAACGCGAGCCAGGTGACAAACCTGCCTTCAACACCAACCCCCCTGTCTGGCTCCCTGCTGATTAACTGGGGAATTTCGGACCTGAAGCTAAAATTCAAAGCTCAATTCCTGCTGGGCTCAGAGCCTCCCGTGGGAGCTGGCACTGGCAGGAGGGATGGAGCAGCAGAGCAGAATTTGTATGGCTGGCAGCAAAATCTGGCAAAGGAGAAGAGCTGAGAAGAGCCTTGGACTGAGAGAAAGTTTTAATGGAGAGTTAAAAACAGGATGCAGAGTTTAGGGTCAGACTCCCTAAACTGTCTCAAATCAGATCTCTGCAGAAGTTCGCATTAATAATAATTAATTATTCACCAGAGCCGTAGCTGTCAGCCCAGTGATGGGTGACTGACCCACTGACATCAGCAGATCTTCCTGAAATCAGACACTGCAAGGGGAAGCTGCAGATTTAACCCAAAAGAAGGGAGGAAAATGACCCATAGCATCAAAAATCTGGCAGAAATCAATGATTTTTAAAGCATTCCCTGTGGCACAGCAATAAAAGTTTTAAAGCCATGTACTCCTGATACCAGACACTGGGAGGGGAAGATGCAAATTTAATCCAAAAGAAGGGAGGAAAATGAGCCATAGCATCAAAAATCTGGCAGAAATCAGTGCACAGACAGTGATTTCCACCAATCAGTGATTTTTAAAGCATTCCCTGTGGGACAGCAATAAAAGTTTTAATGTACTCCTGAAATCAGATACTGCGAGGAGAAGCCACAGATTTCACCCAAAAGCAAGGACAAAAATGAGCCATAGTGTCAAAAATCTGGCAGAAATCACTGAATTTTTTAAGCATTCCCTGCGGCACAACAATAAAAGTTTTAAAGTCATGCACTCCTGAAATTAGACACTGAAAGAGGAATCCACAGATTTCACCCAAAAAGAAGGGAGGAAAATGAGCCATAGTGCCAAAAATCTGGCAGAAATCAGTGATTTCTTTTCTTTTTTTTTAGCATTCCCTGAAGCACAGCAATGAAAGTTTCAAAGCCATCTACTCTGCTCGTGACCTCAGCCAAAGCACGGAACCGTTAGTCGGAAAAAAAAAAACAACAAAAAAACAAAAACGCGCAACAATCAGATTTATCCTTGCGCTGAGGAAGAATTTAAGCATTCCCTGCGGCACAACAATAAAAGTTTTAAAGTCATGCACTCCTGAAATTAGACACTGAAAGAGGAATCCACAGATTTCACCCAAAAAGAAGGGAGGAAAATGAGCCATAGTGCCAAAAATCTGGCAGAAATCAGTGATTTTTTTTCTTTTTTTTTAGCATTCCCTGAAGCACAGCAATGAAAGTTTCAAAGCCATCTACTCTGCTCGTGACCTCAGCCAAAGCACGGAACCGTTAGTCGGAAAAAAAAAAACCCAAAAAAAATACCGCGCAATAATCAGATTTATCCTTGCGCTGAGGAAGAAGGAATGCACCAGCCAGTCTCACGCGTGCCCTGGAACGCGAGAAATTCGCGCGGAGCGTGGAAAGCGCTCCGCGGGGAGGCGCGGGCGGCGCCCAGGTGCGCCCCTGCCTTACCTGGCCGCAGGAGCTGTTGGCCCGCAGGTTCCCCAGCAGCAGGTAGGCGGTGGGCAGCATCAGCAGCAGCACGGCCAGCAGGCAGAGCAGCAGCGCGCAGCGGATCCTCCGCAGGTCCTGGCGGAGCAGCATCCCGGCTCCGTGCCCGCTGCCCGCAGCCTCCGCGCCCATCTCCACCGCGCTCTCCATGGCAGCAGCGCCGGGCTCGTCCTGCGAGGGAGCCGGGCACCGCCAGACCTCCTGTGGCTCCTGCCCTGCATGGAGACCCCCATTAAATAAGAGCTGTGCCGAGTGTGGGAAGGCACCGGCGCACACGCGGTGCCTCCCTCCCTCCCGAGGAATGCACCGCCTACAGTAGAAACCCGGCAGGAGCCGCGCTCCCCGCGCTGCCGGGCTGCTCCTGCCTCCCAGCGCTCCTCTCCCCCCGCTCCCTGCTGGAGGAAGCCAGGAAAGTCCCGGTGGGTGGAACCAGGATCAGCCCCGCCGCTGCTGGCGCTGCTGGTGCTGCTGGGCTGGAGCGCCGCAAGATTTTCCGCCTGGCAAGGGGAAGGTGAAACCGATGGGAGTGAAAGTGAGAAGCAGGGGCAGAGCGAGAGGCAGAGCGAAAGGCAGCCTGGCAGTTTCTTCTTTCCCAGAGAAAGGGGAAGAGGCTTTTGGGGAAGGTGAGATGGCAGGAAGCAAGTGACCCCAAAGAAGAGTCCGCTTCTCTGAAGTGTTGCTTCATCCCCACATTTTAGCAGAATTCACAAGAGGCTTCCCGTTGCTCAATGTGCACCTTTTGCACCAAACCGTTGGGGCTTAGGCCCAAAATCGGATGTTTGTCTGCTCTGGGGCTCACCTTCTCCCAAATCATCTTAATTGAAAATCTTAACAGATTGTTGTGCTGTCACAGGGGTCTGTTATTGCTGCTTGGACAAATGTCCTGGGTTGACTGTATGATGCTTTTATCATAAACCAAGACAAGTGTGATTTTACTGTACTTGGGGCAAAAATGATGTCAGTGTTACTTGGCTGCAGCTGCTATCCCTGACAGAGAGGGGCTGCAGCCTGTGGGCATCCTCTGGAGCTGATCTGAGAATATTCTTAACTCAGTTGAAGAAAGAACAGAGATATTTTTTTCTCAGGCTGAGCCTGGTAATTTGAAAAGATTTAAAACAATTATTATTTCTCTTTCTGTAACCATTGTTTATAGTTATGGTTCTCCACAGTGTGCTAATCATAATGATTAATAATGTGAGATGCTTCTACTTGGAGACCAATCAGGTCCCAGCTTAGCGAGTGAGACTGTAAAACTCATAACTTCTTGCTGATAAAGAATTATTCTATTTTACCTTCTGATCCACCTAGAGTCTTTCTTTCCGTCCCTGACTCAGCAGCATCACTGATCAGCAGCACAGCTGGGAGGAACAAGCTCTGCTGGCAGCTGATGTCCATCTGGAAGGGGTTCCTGTATCACAGGACCTTCCTTCCTTGCTCCCTGCCACTCTGCAGCAGCCCACGCTTCCCAGGGAAATCATCTCATTTAGGAAGTGCTTGGCATGCAGATATTGCCATTTAGACTTGCCCAGACTGTTGAGGTTGGATTTTTTTTTGTCCCCAGGAAAGTTCTCATTAAAACAGAAACTTTCTTTGAGGTGTATGTGCACACACAGTGATGACCAGGAACTTCTCCTTTTTCCCTGGGTAGAGAAACAGGCTGGAAACTTCAATACTTTTTTTTAGTGAGAGAGATTTGGTTCCACTCACCTCCCCATGAAAAGCTTTTCAGATTTGGGCTTTTAAAAAATAAGATCAAAGAAAGAAAACTATTTTCTCATGACCCAGGCTGTCTGTAACATCCCTTTCCCTGATAAAAATTCAGCCAGCTCTTATCACTTCAATAACACAGAAAAATACCTTCCTATTGCAATAGTTGGATGCAGCTCTTGATGTTCTGCAGAGCTCCAAGTCATGCTCTGAGCAGAACATGTGGTTTGGTCAGAGGGGCTGAGGCTGCCAGCAGCAAGAACAGGATCCTTGCCAGTGGAGCAGAGAGGGAAGAGACCAGGGAAAGAGAAAGTATGAAAGAGTAAGCAAGAAATAGTGAAAAGCAGGAGGTTTAGGGAGATAAGAGAATTCTGGAAAGGTTTGGGTTGGAAAGGATCTTAAATGTCCCCTAGTTCCACACCCTGCCATGGACAGGGACACCTTCCACTGTCCCAGGCTGCTCCAGCCTGGCCTTGGGCACTGCCAGGGATCCAGGGGCAGCCACAGCTGCTCTGGGCACCCTGTGCCAGGGCCTGCCCACCTCACAGGGAACAATTCCTTCCCAATGTCCAATCTAAACCTTCTCTCTCTGAGTCTGAAGCCATTCCCTCTTGTTCTGGCACTCCATGCCCTCGGACAGTCTCTCTCCATCTTTCCTGTGGCCTCTTCAGGCCCTGCAAGGCCACACTGAGGTCCCCCCAAAGCTTCTCCTCTCCAGGTGAACAATCCCAGCTGTGCCAGCCTCTCCTCCCAGCAGAGCTGCTCCATCCCCTGATCCCCTGGTGCCTCCTCTGGATCTCTGCAGCAGCTCCAGCTCCTCCCTGTGCTGGGCCAGGGCTGGGGCAGCTCTGCAGGTGGGGTCTCACCTGAGCCCAGGGCACAGGGGCACAATCCCCCCTGCCCTGCTGCCCACGCTGGGCTCAGCCCAGGGCTCAGGGGGCTTTCTGGGCTGGCTCCTGCCCAGCTCCTCACCCAGCACAGCTTTGTAAAGCACCAAAGGCTGCGTGCTCCCCTCCCAGCCAAACCACACCGCTGCTGTCAGACCTTAGACAAGTGACTGGCTCTGTTTCCTTCCTTAATTCACTGTTGGTTTTCATTTAGACTGTAAAACCTTGGGGACAAAGACTGCTCTCTGCTTTTACAGAGCCCAGATCTCATTTCAGAGTAGGTGGGGCTCCATTTATCCTCAAAGGAAACTTGTATTTGTGAAGTGCTGGGTAGACAAGTGAATATTTTACTTTTTTTTTTCCTTCTAAGGTCCCAGTTACATATTCTACGGAAAAATACTAAAAAACCCAATACTAATATTTTGACCACGAGTGTCAAAGTTAATTTTTTCTTCACTGTGAGTGCTACAAAAAGCTGAAAATATATTCAAGGCATGAGCCTTGCCAGCAGACGGACACAGATATATCCAGGGAACACCAGGAATTTATTTTTATTTTATTTGCCAAGGATTTCCAGGGGAGCCAGCTCTGAGTTACAACAGCTTGTAAGAACTTTTATTTGCCTCAGCCTTCTTGCAGCAGTGCCCAGCAGATCTTTGGCTGGAAGAGGATGAGCAGCTGGAACCTCTTCAGATGAGCTGGGAACAGGCCAGGCTGTGCCCCTGGCACTGAGGCTGAGCGTAGAATTTGCTCTTAAAGATCCCAAAAGAGGGAGGAGAAATTTCTTTTTTCCTGGCAGAGAGGAGCCTGGTACTTGCCAGGAGGGGACTCAGCAAAAGAAAGAAAACACAGAAAAAGAACATGCCCAGGCATGGATTTATTGGGGGGGACAAAAAAGAGAGGAGCACTGGGAGAGCTTTACTCCCATTTTTCCCCCCCCCAAACTGGGCTGTATGTAACAATAAAGGGCAAAGAGTGATCAGTGAACTGTCAAATGCATGGCACAGTCACCATTTAATGTTCAAAGCAGGACCTCAGGACCTCCCTGCACCATAAAGGGATTTCCAGGCCAAACAAACCTGCTTGGTTTGGTGCCTCCTGTCTCACCTTTCCAAAATGAAACTCTCTCTGGAGCTGCCAGGAGAAACCCAGAACTGGGATGCACTGGGATGCAATGGGATGCAATGGGATACACTGGGATGCTCTGGGATGTACTGAGGTGCTCTGGGATGCTCTGGGATGCCCTGGGATCCAATGGGGTGCACTGGGGTGCACTGGGATGCTCCTGGATACACTGAGATGCTCTGGGATGCCCTGGGATGTACTGGGATGAAATGGGATGCACTGGGATACACTGGGACGTTCTCCAGCCATCCCTGGCTGCATGACAGGGGATGGGCACCCTGGAGAACCCCCATGGTTTCATCTTTCCTGTGAAGGGATCCTGATCAGGGCAGTCAGGGATGGTCCTGCTCGGCTGTCAGTCATGTCACATCATGTCACATCATGTCACATCATGCTGCCCTTTGCATGTCTCCTGCTGCTCCCTGTTTGTCCCCAGCTCCTCTCTCAGCCCAGACTGTTGTGCAAATTCTCCCGCTCTTGTCAAACATGTCCCAGCCTGTGATCCTTGAGTAGTTTCTACTGATTAGAGAAATCTGCAGGGGTAGTAAACTGCTGCTGCAGCTCAACGAGCTTTGGAGGGGGCAGATGTTCTGCTGGGGAGTTACTGTGGGGCTCAGAGGTGTTTTGGAAGAGCTGAAAAAGTATGAAAGGAATTAGGGATCCAAAGAAAAGAGTTTGGCACGGGGGCAAGTCACTGCTGTGCTGCTGAGCTTTCGCTGCTGCCTGAAGTGCTTTTTGTTCTCCCTGCGTGTTTGTGCCTGATGTGTCTGAGGGCATTCTGTCTGAGGACAAGCTGGATCACATCTAGCGTGAGGAGAGAGAAGTGCACAGGGATGGTCTGACAGCTGTTCCTGTCTTTAGCATGGAAAGTTCTCATTGTATTGAATATTTATTAATTCCTTGTGTATATCAGGTGCTGGCTGTGCTCAGTTTTTAGGCTCATCATGACAAGAAGGACATTGGAGCATGTTCAGGGAAGAAAAGGAGCTGGGGAAGGGTCTGGAGCCCCAGGAGAGGGTGAGGGAGCTGGGAAGGGGCTCAGCCTGGAGAAAAGGAGGCTCAGAGGGGCCTTGTGGCTCTGCACAGCTCCTGACAGGAGGGGACAGCCGGGGGGGGTCAGGCTCTGCTCCCTCGGTAATAAATGACAGAAGAAGAGGAAACAGCCCTAAGCTGTGCCAGGGCAGGCTCGGGTTGGCTATAAAGAGGAATTTGTTCACTAAAAAGTTTATGAAGCCCTGGCACAGACTTCTGAGGGCTGTGGTGGTGTCACCATCTCTGGAGGGATTTAAAAGCCATGTGGATGTGGCACCTGGGGACACAGCCCAGTGGTGGCCTTGGCAGTGCTGGGGGAATGGTTGGACTGGATGACCTTGGAGGTCTTCTCCAAGATAAACAGTTTTATAGTTGGATGATTCTATGTCTGTGTTTCAAGTTTTGAATCTTGCACTGAGCGTGGAGAAAAAATACTTGAGCACTCCAAGCCCCTTTCACAGATTTTCTAAGAGTTTTCAAAGTGATTTTTGTTCACTGTGTGGGAATGCTTAATGTTTTATTTGCACCACCATTTCTGCTGAATTCTGAGACACTGCCCCACAGAAAGACAAAGCACAGGGGATCCCTCAGCTGGGAGGAGAGGGGAAATCAGGG